GTACAAGAGATTTTATTGAACCCAAGGGGTTAATAGGCATAGAAACTACGAAGAGGGAGGTAGAAGTCATTTTCCCAATAATAAAATAATAAAGGGCGTTTAATATTTGCAACATCAAATTGAGAGAAAAACAGGAAAAACCAGTAAAATAAAATAAAACATAAAACACGGAGGACCTTGCCCTAAAATTTCTGAAATTATAAACCAAAGGGTAACGCCATAAATTTTGCAACATCAAATTGAGAGAAAAACAGGAAAAACCAGTAAAATAAAATAAAACATAAAACACGGAGGACCTTGCCCTAAAATTTCTGAAATTATAAACCAAAGGGTAACGCCATAAATTTAGCCCAATCTGCGAAAGTAGTTTGATCGGGCTGCAACCCTTTCAAAGAAGTAAAATATCACCTCAAAACTCAGAGGAAGTTGCAATTTTGGCATTGGAAAACCTTCAAATCGATCGTCTCAGTCTTGACCGTTATGGTGGTGAAAAAAATTAGGATTTTCAAGCCCTAAAAATAATGTATATTGTTAAAAAATTGTCTAAACCATCTATTGCGCCTTAAAAATACATGTTCATAGATCCGCAAGATCTATACCATAGTTGGTGTTGAAAATTGATTTTAAAACCATCAAAGAGATTTCCGATGCCTGAAATGCTTTCCGGACAAAAATTCGATATGCGGCTTTATTTTGTTTTCAATAACCTAGGCCTTATAGAAACTGCATCCTTATCTTTCTTTCCCCTCCCCCTTCCTAGTATGCTTCCTTCATAGAATTAGGGCTGTTATTACTTGTGCTTGTTCCCTTTCATTTTCGGAAAGTGTAGCGGCCAGCCATCACCAAAATATTATGAGGTTGGGTCTATATAGCGGGTTTTAAAATTCCACTATTAAAATTAGATCATCCGCGATGAAAATGTTAAGGAAACATATTCATTGTGAATGGTAAAACTACCATACATAATTGAAAAAATACGAAATGGTTTTATGATAGGAGTCACATTGGAAAAGAAGCTAGGCTAATTTATATATTTTGAGTTTGTAAAACAAGAAGAGGAGGGTGTTTATTTAGACCAGTAAATAGGGGATATATTATTTTTCGCTCCCCTTATTTTCAAAATTCTAAGGCTGAATTTGGAAGCCAACCATATTTGGGTCCAACGGGTATTTACGAGCATACAAAATGTATTACCTACAAGTAAGACAAATGAAAAAAAAAAAAAAGTACAAATTCAAAATTTTAAAAAAAATTTCTCAAACTTCATTACACAACTCAAGCTTGTTAATTTGCGGCAAAACCTATAGAATTGCCCGAATTATAGCACTATATAAACAGGATAAGAACATTTTTAAAGGGTAGAAACGTGAAGAAAAACAGAATCGTCTTCTCTTTCAACCATTCAAAAACAAGAAAGCTGATATTTAAATTTGTAGGGGTGGGTGGAAGCTGGAGAGATACAATAATTGTTACTATTTGAGTTTAGGACGTAGCCGTACAAATTGTCAAGCTTTAACCAATTAAACCCAACCTTTTTACCTATGGCAAAAATACTACACTAAACTAGATATTGAAGTGGCTTTTGAGGTACGTCCTTACTTTTTAACTAAAGCTTAGGCCTTCTGCTAATCGCATTCTTAGAAATAATGAAGATTTCTCATGTCATCCAATGTGGATAAAACTTTACTCCTTATAAAATATGTATTTTTTTTCAAAATGCATGTCCTTTAATAGTAAGCAAGTCGGGGAATAATAATATATCAGCTAACTAAATTATCGGTAATAAATTGGTTCTATTTCAAAACGTCAGATAAAAAAATCAGATCAAAACTACGAATCACCAAAAAATAAGGTAAGTTATAAAATCGTGAAAATTTTGGATTTGGTTAAAAAACCAAAATGAAAAATCGAATATGTAATGATGGCACAATATAGGATGGTGATTTGTAAACATTGTATGAATATGTTCAAGCCATCGACAGTTTTATGTCCTTTCCTTGTGTATGAGATTGCAGTTAACTAAAATAAAATGCAAAGATCCAAATATGTGAAATAGTGTGCTATGTTGTATACACAAATGAAATAAAAAAAATTAAAAAACAATAAAATGCTTAAAAAAATTCGAAGCTTCCATTGAATCCATAGCTGCCTAAATCTTTAGTATCAATGAATTCCTCTCTTGCTTTTTATAAGAACTTTGTGGGTCAAAAAAAACATTTTTCATTGGATTACTCTTCTTCTAAATCTAGCTATTATTTTGATATTTTATTTTATGCATTGCTTGTATTTTTTCGTACTTTTTTAGATTTTTTTGTTAAGTCAAGATCCTTAATTTACTTCTACTGGTAATGTGTTTAGCTTAAACTAAAATTCTATAATAATAAGAAAGTTATATAGAAAAGGTTTTTTTGGAAAAAATATGGATTTATATAAGTTCCATAAAAAAAAAAGATTTTTTGAAGAGCTTTTGAAAAACTCAGTTGTTAACTGATTTAAAAAAATCAGAATTTTTTTGAAAAACTCATGCTTCAAAAAGAGACTTGCGGACAAAAGTACCCCTCTTCTTTAACCGCATTCCTACTTTTCTTATCATGCGCCGATTTTCTCCCTTTAAGCCAATGTTGTGCACATATTTGATAGGGAGAGAAAGGGATACGGAAAAAAAAGGGTTTAAAACAATATTATCACATTCGCTTCAGTCATCTTCGATTTGATGATAAAGATGAAAGATTCGAAGGAAGATTTCGGTTTTTTTTATTTATTTGAATATATATATATATAAAATATTTTTAATGCCTATAGGAAAAAATGAATAGTGATTTCACCTACGTTCATTACCGTCCAAGTTTCATCGCGCAATCACGATTGTCCAATAGTATTTTATTTCTATTTTTTTTTTAATAAATCGGAATGACCTGAAATTTGGGAGGTATATACATATTACTAAGGTGCATCTAATAAAAATATAAAAAAAATTATCCTAAAAAAAAATAGGCCAAAATATCCCCTAAAAATTTCAGGGATATTTTGATCAATTTTTTTCATGTGAAATATTTTTTTTATATTTTTTCGAAGATTCCCCTATTTTTTATGAATACACGCTCCAAATTTCAGGTCATTTCGTTTTGTAGAAAATGAAATGAAACACTACCAAACAATCGTGACCGTGCGATGAACTTTGGACGGTGATGGGGTAGGAAAATACTACGCAACATGATTTCACCTACCCCATCACCGTCCAAAGTTCATCGCGCGGTTAC